AACTGGGCAGCAACTTTGTTATACGAGAAATTATCTCCTGGCTCGCGCGATTCGATATATTTAATCGCTTCTTGAATCGGATCCATATTGGTGAAGTTATGACGCGTTGAAGTTTTGTTGTTGTGTTATTGGGGTGGGGCGTTGAGTGACCTGGGGCGTTAGCTGACACGCTACTGTAGGGGACGTTCCTCCCGCCTTATCTGCCGTTCCGTTGCCCCCCATCACTACTTTGCACAATGCACCACCCGAAATCGCTACTAATCACACGCTATCATTGCCAAGCTGAATCTTTCGTTTCCTTCAAAAGTTTTGTCCTTGCTGCATAAAATGTAAATTTGCCAGTCTGAGAGGCTTGAAGTGAGCCTGATACCATTGCTTTGGATAGCCCGTCCTGTCAAGATGCAAGGTAGTACAGTACATCCCTGACTTGGCGGCTGCGGTGAGTATGCCATGTGTAGTGGTATTGTGGCGAATCTTATTCATCCGACCTTCCTGGGGGTCTCAGTATGGAAAGTGGATACACGTTCGTGCATAATTTGTATCTCTTGGCAGAGTGGAGCAAAGTATGCGGCGCGGTCAAGGTCGCAGGAACTTGTGCGTCGTTCGAGCCGTTGCAGGCACCGGTCGCCATCAGTATGGCATTAAAGAAACATTACCTCTGCGTATGTCAACTTCTTGATAGTTTACCGCATCTTAGGCTTATAGTACCTGTTTACGTCCAACGTCAATGTGGTGCGGAACGACAGATAGTGCCTTCTTGGGCGGCACGGCTGCCGCATCCCGCTATTCTGGGCCCGAGTGGAGGCGCATGCAGCGACGCTGGACATGCCACAATGCTTCTTCCTTCCTCCTTCCTATATCCTGACCTTGATAGTTCGTTTCGACATGGGAGTATGTGAGCCCCTAGCACCAACTTGCGATGTGTTTCCTTTGTTCGAGCCGATGAAGCCATTGATCATGTTCTGCATTGGCTCAGTGTATAGCATACCTCCAGCCCAAGCATAGTTGCTCCAGAAGCCCACGAGGACACTCGGCCAATTCATCGAGAGCGCGCCGCTGTAGAAGATGTGATGCCAAACAGCAAAGACGACTGAAACCGACGGTGAATGTGCGTGATGCTTGCGCATATCGGCGATATCGGATCCATAGGCAGCCGTGGCGAACGAAGAGAGGATGGCTAGAAGAGTGAAGACTCCTAGCGTTGAGCTTGCAGCGCTCTTCTGCTGGAACGTGTAGCCGTCGGTGATCTGCGCAGCGAAACAGCCAATCTCATTCTGCGTCGAGTTGGAAAACAGGCGAAGGATGGCTTGGCCTTCAAAGTCGGGGATGCTGAGTGCAATTTCTGGGATTCCAGCGGTGTCGTTCTGGTTGATCGGTATGATACCTGCCGCCTCGATATGAACGCCGGCTCTAACGGAACAGGCGCTGTTGATGTTGGCGTTGCAAGGGTCGAAGGTAAGATCAAAGCGACTCTCTCCATACGCGTAAACACCAATGTTCATCATTATGTCCTCTCTTCGGAGCCCAGTCTCACCTTCCAAGTGGAAGATGATGGTCATGTTGTCCTTGTAGTAAGCGGCATCAAATCGGGTGACGTTGATGGCGCTCTCGCCTAGGCAGTCGCCATAATCGTCAGTATAGAGAGATGGCTGCCGGTCATCTCTGACCTTCCATTTCTTGCCATTGACGACACCAACTACCCATTTATCATCCTCGTCTGCAGCTGTAGGGCTTGCTAAGAGGAGCAGCAGCAGGTAGACTGCCAGGGAACGAAGGGCGAATCCTTGTCTATACATGTTTCATCGATACGTTGGGGCGTGTAGTGTGATCTCGGTATCTTTCTTCGTGGTTATGCGGAGGGCGGTAGATCTGGGCGCGAAGCAATCGACGAGTTTGTCAGTATGCGGCGCAACACTCCTCGTTTGCGGAGACCACAATAAGTGCGAGCCAACTGAGGTGAGTGACAGACAGCAGTTTGGGAAGAAAGAGCCTGGCGTTGACTGTAAATGGTCGAAGTGGAGTATACGAGTTCAGTTGTGTAGCATGGTAAGCGGGTGCACCATCGCCGACTTCCAGGCAACAGCAGCGAGAGATTGGGTGAAGAGTGTGGAGTACGGAGTGATTACTAGGAGAATCACTGACTGAAGTCATACTGGTCCAACGCGGTAGGGGCTGCCAGTGTAAGAAGGTAAGAGCTATTGGGAACTCGTTAGATACGTCCTATGTCGCAAGCGCAACCTTCCATAATCACAACATGCCTATTGTAGCAACAAGTGCTTGATGTGAGATAAGCGATGTACATTCATCATAGAGGTACTTTGCTTCATTGAACGATGCAGCATTGCGAGGCGCAGGTATTGCGTGCTAAGCTTTCCTAGCTGCGTTAGCGTGTGTATGCCACAGTCTGATAACAGCCGTGGTGACAGTGTCACAGCATCTCGATACTGAACAACTACGAATCGCCGCATTATGCAGCGAGAAGCATAAAGCCTACCATGAAATCATCACCCTGATATTACCGATCATGTATAGCCGTCTCGACCACTAAGCAGCATCGCGCCTCTTATGTAAGGTGCGGAATTATTCCCTCGATGCTGACTAGCAGAGCACATGAATACACTATACCACACCAAGGAGTTGAACAACCAACAAAAAGAATAATAACAACGACAATCAGACAGTCGAATACGTAAACACATTATTTGTATATATATACAAATTCTCCCTAGCGTTCTTTTACCAGCATCCATTCCAGACACCCACCCACTAGTCACAAACCTCACATCTCCCTCAAACCAACAACGTCCAAGCAAACATGTCTCCCATTTCAAATCTGTTGTCCCAACCAACCTGGCGAAACATCGGCCTAGGCCTGACCACCACGTTCTTCGCCCTCGGCGCCCTCTCTCTCATCCGCCCCATCACCGCCGCAGCCGCCCTCGGCGTCTACCCCAGCACCCCCGAAGGCCACACCATCAACCAAAAGGCCATGACCTTCCTCGGTATACGCGATGTTGCTGTTGCAACCAGTCTGTTTTGGTCAGTAGCGTCACTGTACGGGCTGAAAAGAGATAAGGTACTGATTCCATACACCGATTTATAGGCTTTACGCTAGGGGACAGACGAAAGAGACGGGTGTGCTGATGTGCAGTTGGGTGTTGGTGTGTGTGACGGATACATGGGTTGCAGTAGAAGGACTGAAGGAAAGAGGGGACAAGGGTGGGATTGTGGTGTTGGTTGTTGGGGCAGTGATTACCGCTGTGACGGGGTTGGGGCTGTTGGGATTGTGATCGGAGGATGGCAGAGATATCTGTGCAAAGCGGAAGCCCATTCAACCACGAGTAGGCGGGGCGATCAACAAGGAAGCCCTAAGTAGAGAAGTTTGAAAACATGTGCAAAAGAGAAAGTATTACCATTACGCATTAAGGTGCTGTTCTAGGATGGGTACCCATGTAGGTAAACCAGTATCAGCCCATCCAATATCTTACAGACATTCACATGTCAGATGAAGAAGCACGTGAAGGCTTGTCAATCTGTATCGTGTGCAGAAATAATCCTTTGCATCCCCCCTCTTTATTATCCTGCCATGCTCACATTATGCATGTGATGCAAACAAAATACCCTGATCCAACATACTGATCCTAACCCACAACTAGGAAGAACCATGTTATCTGGTATCCAAGCATCCCCATTCTTTACGTCCTCCTTCACCGACTTCCTCTCCATTACCATTGTTATCTTCTCGTAATTTCCTGCTCTTGGTATCCTACTCCAAAACCGCCATCATGGAAGCCTTTTTCTCTTCATCCTCAACCAACATGCAGCGAGCGCGGCAGACGTCTTCGACGATATCGACAACCTTTCGAAAACTGGAGGCTGCGCCGCGGGTTTGCGTGAAGCGTGCGAGGCAAAGATTCGCGCGGCGTCCGTGTTCGAGTACGACGAAGAGCTCGATGACAAAAGTTACGGGCTTGATCTTGAGGTCTGTAAGACGTGGGTGTTAGCAAGTGACTTGCAAGTAGCAACAAAACAAATGCAGCATTACATCGCCATACGAGCCCAGCTTCCAGCAGCTCTACCTCGAATTGCCGATCTCTGAGACACCATGCGCTGAACATGAGACACGCTCGGGGTAGGTACTTACGGTTACTCTTGTCAATGCGTGCGCTGATGGAGTTTACTTCGCGATCCAGCGATACGTCCTGAACGCCGAAGCGCTGCCAGTCGCGCAGCAGACGAACGAGATCCTGACGAACTTTGCCACGGCCGATATGGAAGCAGAGGGTCTTGCTCGCCGGCTTGATGTGGAGGAAGCGTGATAACCAGTTCATCTGGATCTCTGGTGGACCGGCACGAGCATTATCGTTGTTGTTGTCGGATCCGATGTCAAAGTTGGATAAGATGGAAGATGAGCTGAAATTGAGTGCTGCGAATATATCAGTATGTGAGATGGAGTCAAAGTGATGGCATGTATGCTTACCCCCCAGCTCCATAGGTCTCTTGCCCTTGTCATCCTTCGACTTCTTGCCAAAGAAGGCGAAGAAGCCTTTGCGAACAGACTCGCTCTTCGCAGTAGCTGCACTACTATTGCGCATGGGAAACTCGCTTCCAATACTGCCATCTGACAGCTTGTGTTCATCCTTTGTGTTATCGATGTTCGCAAAGGCCATACGATCGTTCCTCTCCTTGCGGTCGTCAAGTCCTTGCCATGCCTCCGGGATCTGAAGTAGCGAATTCGACTGCTTCTTCTTTACTTGGTTCTCTTTGTTCTCCTGCTCGCGCTCCTGTTCTCCTGTATTGCGACGAAACCATAGCGACTTCTTCTTCTTGAGCACTGTGTTTTGCTTTTCGAGGGTGGGAGGGACGTCTTCCGTAGGTAGAGCCTGCAGATCATTCTGTACATGATGGTATGACTGGAGGATGGGTATCGCAGGCGCTTCCTGTGTAGCATTCGTCTTTAAGCTTGCACCACTGCGCTTGCGAACGTTCAAAGGGGCAATGCGGATGGGCGATCCATCGACGATACGAATAGTCTGCGGCAGCTCGGTCACCACACGACGGCCTTGCGGCCTAATAGGGTCAGCGACAGCTCGCTGCTTGGGAACGTGGATTTCAAACCCATCTCCACTATCAGCCTTTGCCTCCTCAGGAATCACACGAAGCGACCTAGGCTCCGGAGACTTGACAGGAGCGGATACTATACGCTTGCCACCGACTGCAGGCAGCATCAAGCGATCGAGGTTTTCAAGTACGTTGTTGATTCGTGCGGTGCTACTCTCATCCTCGTTCAATAGCTGGGCTATCTCTTCACGAGTCGCCGCCAGCTTTCGCTCCAGGAGAGTATTGGGAGTCTCCGCCGGGATCGGAGGCAGTGGCCGATCTCCAAGAAGCCCCTTGACACCAGGTGTGGCGCCCAAAGTACTGCCGCCAGAGTCCCGTGTGTTAGAGAATGAAGTCGGAGGGCTGTCATACTGCGAGGCGTCGTGATAAGCATCTGACCGAACACTAGAGCCAACGGAAGAATTAAAAACCACGTCCATGAATTTGTCCAAATCTTGGCTGAACTTCCGAGCCTCTCCTTCAATGTGTTTTGTAGGACTCTCTGGCTTTCTAAGCTTCAGGCGTGGCGTCTCCGAGTTCAGAAGGGTCCTCGGCTTGAGGGCTGAACAGATCGTGTTCGTCTTGCAAGACGGCCTGTAAGACCCAATAGACGTGTGCGGTCTATGAGACATATGGTCGACAAAAGATCCGACTTCAGTCTGCCAGCTGCTAACTGTTGCCGCGGAAGACCGACGATCACGCAGATGCGAAAAGCTCACACCTCGCTTTCCCATGCCAGCGGAGCGAGCAATGACGGGTGGACTACTAGGCCAGTGTGAGCTCGCAAGAGAGTACCGAGACATTGAACTCCGCTGAACCGAAGGGGCGCGATGAGAAGAAGGGATGCTCTTATGAGAGGGAATGCTTCGCGTAGAGCGGCGCGACGTTGCAGAGCTATGCTTGGAGTTGTTCCGTAGTGCCTGAACGCGTAATGAGTTTCCCTTTTCATGTCCCAGAGCAGTGGTAAGACGTTGGTTGCCGCTGCAGCTGCTGTGCCCCCGGTGAACTGTAACATTTTGGTTGAGCGGTGCGTCTTCTGGAATGGGAACGATCGGCTGCCGTGAAGCTCGGTATGGGTCGTAGCTAGCTTCAGAGACAGGCGACTCATAGAGGCTGTGCTTCGAGTATAGATGCTCATTGTTCAATATTGAGTAGGCGGACTGCGAACGCTTGTGATCGTAATTTTTTGTGGACAGTTCGTTTATATCATTGCGTTTGGGCGAATGCCGCGTATTGTGGTGGTGGTCGCTGTTGGAATGAGCTACGGCATAATGCGCGCTCGGTTGGTAGTTCTCAAGCTGGTCGGTGTGGTATTTCTCCAGCGCAGAGTAGAAATATTTCTCCTGGTTTGCTCTGCTCGACGATTAGCAAATACACATGTGTATTATGGAAAAAGCTTCTTACTCTTGACTCAATAGCTTCTGGATCAGAACCTCCTCCTTCTCGCTGTGCCAGAGCGTGCGCAGATACCGCAAGATCTCACGGTCGACGGTTTTGCGCTCTAGATTTGTCCACTCTGCAATGGCAGGGAGAGGTCCAGTCCAGTGGTTAACGTTGGCGTTCTCTCCCATAAAGTTTAGCTCTTGCGAATACTTGCGGAGAAAAGGATGATCCCAGATCTCATCGATGGAGATGCGACGGTTTGGATCAGCGATCAGAATCCTCCCAATAAGGTCTTGAGCTTCTCTAGAGATGTTGTCCGGCATGATATACTTGGCCGCTGCGATGTCGCGAAACAGGTGCTTCAGATCACGGTCATCACCAGAGTAGTTGAAGGGAGGCGTGCCGGTGAGGAGAACAAACAAGATGACGCCACAGCTCCATACATCTGCCTTTCCTCCATCATAAGATGTAGTCTTGATAACCTCCGGTGCAGCGTAATGAGGGCTGCCGCAGGGTGTGGTAAGCTTCTTGCCAATGGGCTGTAATGCAGCCATGCCAAAATCGACAAGCTTGACCGTCATGGTATCTCTGTCCAGCAGAATGTTCTCGGGCTTGAGGTCGCGATGGTGGATATTGATACGATGGCAGTAAACCAGGGCCGCGATTATCTGGCGGAAGATATGGACGGTATGGATCTCAATCAGTCCATGCTGCTCGTGGATATAGCTGAACAGTTCGCCGCCTTCGACAAACTCCATGATGAGGTACCTGCATCACATTAGACGGATCCATGTGGGAGTGCGGTGTGTGGAGTACTTACAGCTCATCGCGGTTTTCCCAGATATCATAAAGGCGGACGATGTTGGGATGATCCAGCAACTTCATAATGCATATCTCTCGTTCAAGGCCAAATGGAATCACCTTGCCATCAGGGTATAGTGAAGACTCTTGCTCAGCACTCTGAATGAGGTTGGCCAAGCTCAGGGCGCGCACTTTCTCTGCCGTAGCCTTGGAGATGATCTTCGCGGCGCCATATTGTCCTGTGCCGCTGTGCCTGACAAGCCGCACACGCGAGCAGCCACCTCGTCCAATGGTTCTTCCCAACTGCCAAGGACCAATGTGTGTCTTGCGGCGGCGGTTTGAACTGGAAGCATTGGTGCTTGCATTAGATATTTTGGAATCGCGCTTCGGGTTGTGAGGTCGACCTTCGTGGGCTTGAACAGCGGACAGACGCTTGTTCTCTGGCGAAACGTCCTCGTGCCAAACGGAAAGCGTACCATTTGGAACTATAGACTCGTTGTGGGGAAGCGGTGGAGGCGACGAAGATGCATAACTGTTGCTGCGCTTTTCGTTGCCCCGCTGGGGACGTGGGCCCTCATTTGCGCGATTGGTGCCGTTACCGAATGCGCGTCGACGCGTCGGCGGGCGACCAAGGAAGCTGGAATCCATGCTTTGTAAAGAAGTTTGCAGTTGTCAAGGCGGGCGTCCTCGAGTAGTGCAGCTGTCGTTGCTGTGATGAAAAGGTAAGGCGAAGACCAAGATATGAAAGACGGTAAGGTGAGTGTCCAAGCCACAAAAAGCTCGCAATGCGTTGTTGAGGTAGTCGAGCTCGCTATAATGGGTGGGATCAGACAAAAGCCATGACCGGATTCTGTTTGTTGTTGTTTATCGCTGTTGACACTGAGGGCGCTCGCTCGATCGTTTGACCGCCAGCGAGTCCGTTGACGAGGCCGGTAAAGGAAAGACGGCTAGATGTGCAATGCCAAGTGAGTCTGCTCTCGCTACAAGAAGCTAACAAGTAGATGGATGCATACAATGGACAGGCTATGCAAGTGTCGATGTTGGAGAGGAAATAAACGTTGCGAGGGGAGACTTGTGCACAGACTAGCCCGGTAAAGTGCAATCGGATGCAAACGAGGTGGCGGCGGGAGCAACAACAACACCAACCACGGCAGTGGCGACGAACCTCACAATGAGGAAAGTGTATCTTGATTCCTCTATCGGATGTGAACAGGACTTTGGAGGTGTGGCGTTATAGAAATGGACCAGTCATTGTGAAAGATACCAGTCATCATAATCCCAAAGAAGATGAGATTGGTGAAACATCCGGCCGATAGGAAGAGACACGAGATGACGGTCGAGATAGTGATTTTTTTCTCACCTATCGTAGCACAGTGTCATTCTAGAACCTTCTCATGCAATTTGTTCGCTTTCCCTGAGACATATTCGATAGCAGCTCTCGATCTTGACCAACATGATCTCTTGTGACAAGTCTTCTAACCTTTCTAGCATATAAACATAACGTCTACAGCAAAGTTCAGTCCGGTGGGATCGGTTGGCTCTTCTTCGATTTGGCAGATAGGCTCCAGTTCTGGAAACAAGTCTTGGGCAATGTCGTCCGCTGGAGCATCTCCAACACCCGCACTGTAAAGGCCCCCAGGTTGTGTTTTTGGCTCCTCTTCGTTCGAATCATCCGAGCCAGATTTACTGCTGCAATTATCTGTGAGATGGTCGTCCTCATCCTCAGTATCCATGTTACTAATCTCCCCAGGGACATTTTCTGGGCTAAAGCTACAATCCTGGCGCTCTATCTGAGAGGCGATGTAACGTGGCTCGAGTGGAAAGACATCATGCCTGACACATGCCCAGCAGCCATTCGGGCTCAAAATGTGAAACTTGTAACCCTTTTGCATGGCCAAAGTTGCTGCTGCAAGTCGGGCCATTGGATTTCCAAAAGCACGAAGAACACCACCTCCGACCGGTGCGTCCAGAAAAGCTTTCCAGCTGTCGACTGCCTGCATGCTTTTCGGAAGGTGGCTCCTTTGTTTCCGCTGCTCCACATCGTGGTCGCAATCTCCGTGGTGTGGCCATGTTTTTTGCGCCCTCATGATGTCAACGTCTCCCACCCAATCGCCGCCATCGTACACAGAGACGTTCGTCTCGACGAAGTATGCTTCAGAGTCACGATTACCGCGGGGTTCGACGTCAAGTGGCAGCTCATATCCAGTAAGAGACAGATGAAGAGACGTGGCCGAGAAATTGTCCACGAGATCCCCACTGAAGGGCTCGTACTCCACGACGTACTTGTTGAAATCGTATTCCCGCATACGGGGGTCATTCGGTGATATCAGCAATGCGAACCCGGGTCTACCAATATTTCCTGTCAACCTCTTGATAAGGTGTTTTGAACTGGGTTTTGTGGGATCTTCGAGCATTTGCGATGCCACAAATATTGAGTTACTGTGTGATAGTGCTAGTACTCCTTCCAACTTGTGCGGATCTAGCTGTATCTCTCCAGTCTCGAAGAACGCCACAGCAGTGAAGGCGTGGGTGATCGCACTTGGAGATGGCAATTCATGTTCAGGTATTTTGAGAGGGGCTGACGAATACGAACCCCATGCGTATTGAGCCCTCCCAATATTAAATATTGTTTGGAAAGGGGCTGACCAATGCGACCCCGGTACGGGTTGCGATGTCACTCGCAGATCAACGCAGGCACCAGGTAGGCCTTCATAAATCTCTTCTACATGACTCAGAACCTTTAAGCTCTGAAAGAAATCGTTGCCTGCTGCTGACCGAATTAGCAGCTGCTGAGTCAGTCTTGCTACCTCAACAAAGCCTTCTCTATAGAGGCGAATGAATCCGGAAAGTGTTATCGCATTGCGAGAGAGTGCAGGTTTACCGCGTTTGATAGGTCGGTAAATAGCAGCTTTCCCTGCATCCCCACAGACAAACTCAAAGTCTTGTAAGCTCATGTTGGGACCTGGTGGTAGCTTAACGATACTATGGTCTTGAAGCCCAGAGACCGTTCGAATCTTTGACGGGTCTATAGTCGTTCCATCCATCTCTGTCAATGCCGAATAATCGACAGCGATGAAACTTTGGGGCGAGTCGAGCTTGTCGTCAATCAGCCAACTGAGGTGCTCTTGATTGCCGGGATAAGGTTCTTCGGTTCGACGTCTCTTGTGTCCAACTTGTCGGTTGCCGGTTCTGAAGACGGTAGTGCAAAAGAAGACAGTACTGTCGTCGTTAGGTTGCCGCGCAGGACTGTAACGAATGATGCTTCCCTTGAGGCTGGATCTGTCTGGGTGGTTATGGGCCCACCATCTGAGAAAGTCGATCCGGCGCTGTATCTTATCGGGTGTTGGGAAGTTGACGACGTCAATGAGAGAACGCATGTCTGTGAGGCCGAACAGAGGAAGCGGGTGCTTGCCATGCTTCGCTAAGAAATTCGAACAGCGGCGGATGCCAAACATGATCAGGGCCATTCCGTGTTTTTTATCCACCTCGCTTGCTTGTTGGAAAGCCTTGCAGCACTTTGCCAGTGAAACCAACCAATCTAACTCTTGTATGTTTCTCATCTGCAAAGGATCATTGCTGATAGAATCATCAAGCAGAATGATGCATTGCATCGCAAGATCGATATCATTGTTCCCCATATTCCACGAGGACAGTACACTCCCAAGTATAACATAACGGAAGTCTGCATAAGATACTTGAGAATCCTTCATGCCATGACGACGCTCTGCGTTGACCGGATCCCCATAGAATCGCATATGGGCAAGCGGAAGAGACCAATAAATGGTTTCATCTGGACACTCTTCTCTACTCCCCATGCCTACGGTGATCATACCTCCAGGAGCAATCAATCTGTCCTGCTGAGGCACATGATAGGTTCGAGTTCCAACGCCCAAGACAGTCATGTCTGGGTAGAGGTGCCAGGAAAGAAGTCCTAACATGACATCGCCGTCATTAATACGTTGAGGACGTCCCAAGATCAAGTCGTTCATCGCTTTCATCGCATGCTTCCAGACTGCCATCACAGAGGAGTACAGCTCTTTATCTCGAGATACTGGCAGATTAGCTCCGTCAATGACCAGCCTCAGGTTCGTTTGCTCAAGCTTTTTTACACTGTCCGCATATTGAAGCCATGCTCTACATGACATATTAGCGATTTGACCACTCTCCAGAACTGCGCGATCACCCACCTGGCACTGGCGTCCCATTCGTCCAGCTGTTTTCTTTCGATGTGAATCATGGACGCAGCTAGCTCATTCGCATGTAGCATAGCAGAAGAACCTACCTTTTTACCCAGGATAGATTTTCTTTGCTGCACAAGCTCGTGCCAGATAGAGATCGCTTGTGACCTCTTCCACATGCGGGCTAGCAGGCAAGCAAGCAAGTGCATAGTCACAGCTCCATCGCCGGAAGTAGCTGCAGCTAAAATGCTTGTGCCATCAGCGCCGATGTAATCCGCGAAAGCCCCATGAACACTTTCCTGAGAACTCATCGTATTCTCTGACGTCGCTATCTCACTGGCTCGCTTCCCGTATGCTTCAAGCAATTCAGGAACAGCAGGGATCTCGGACTCAAAAAGAGCGAATAGTTTTCGAGCCGTGCTGTGTATCATGCCGTCTTCTGCCTCAGCCTTGCGCTTTGGCGAAAGACTCGAGCACAACCCCATAAATTCTGGAGGGGCTTCGAACCTGAGCATAGAGAAATCCAGATTAATATTGACGAGGGCTGCTGTGTTCTCCTGGGCTATGTGCATGATAGCGTTCGTTAACTTGCCAAGGCTAGCTATGGTCGTTTCCAGGCGGCTTTTGTTCGCGATTATGTGGGTAAGACAAGACGAGTCGAACTGAGTGTGAGGCCCTTTGAAAGGCTTTTAGAGCTTCAAGATTATCCGGGCCTTGGAAAGTCTTCTTCAAGATCTTGCTGAGGAGTGGCTGTGTCAGGCAGCAGGCTGATAGAGCAGGCTGAGAGAGCAGTCTCTCGACCCCGCGATATGTGCCAACGATGCTGGCGAATCCTGCGGCAATACCTGCACAAACCTACAGTAGGCACATCTATATGCATCATGACCGATTGCATTTTACTTTCATAGATCTGATGAAAGATCGTTCGACTGAGAAGGGAAAGAAGATGAGATGAAAGCACGCACACCATATGGCGCGTCATGATGAGGAAGGTGAAAGTGAGGTAAAGTAAAGTCGAAGTTCGCAGGTCAACGCGTCGTGCGCCTTCCGCACTGCGCCATGCTTCCCCGCGCGCCCGCCGTACCAAACTCGCTGCCAGCCCCCGGGAACCTGCCGATAACAACGCCCGTACACAACCGGGCCACCCAGCCACATGGTTCAGCCATTTTTTCCCATGCACTTAACCGTCTTGCGTACCTAGCACATACCAAAACCTTAATGCGGCGACCGCTCGTTCAGGAACATAATGCAGATGTTATATCCCGTACTTACTGTGAACGGCAAGAATTTAAGCAACTCATCACAAAACCACACCGCACTTTTGCTTCGAGTTTGACTGCGACGGGTTTGACTCTTGCGACAAACGGGATGTAACAAGGCGAAATGGAGAACAGGGTACATGTGAGAAGGAATCAGGAGAGAACATGAATGAATCATAATGTGTTTAGTATTGTATAGCGGTATCATCCCCCTTTTTCCAAAGATGCCCACGCTCGCTCTCATTCCCACTCTCTTCCGGCAGCGATACGACAGCTACGGTTCCGTACTGCGCATGTCGCTTGCCGGAAAAAGCGACTACAATGGGGTGAAAAAGCAACTCTGGCAGCATACAACGGGAGGTTCCTGTTCGTCCGCGAAACATTACACCCGCAGTAGCCCAGACACCAGGTTCCCCTATCACACACAGGCCGAACCCAAGCCTGAAACCTCCTGTCCAAAAAAAAACAGACAAGTGACGTACATACAACAACAACCGAGATGCGCAGGAGCCAGTTCCCCACGTGGTACCTTCATACATACAACGAAGAACAAACAAAGATAAGATAATAGCGACAACAGGGTAAGAGGTATCCGCGATCAAAAACAAAAATTGGCCCCGTAACTCCCTTCCTTTCCGCGTTCCGTTTGTTCCGTTTCCCAGGGTAGTCCAATCAGAAAGGAAAATAAAGAGGACGTGATAAGACATGCATAAGTTCGTAGCGTATAAGAGGGTTGAGTAAGTAATACAAGAGAAGAAGAAGTGGAGTGAGAGCTGATTGCTTCCAGGTAGGTGACGTCGAGGGTCGATTAGATCAATGTGTTTTCGAGTCTTCAATCTTGGGTGACGGGGTTTCGCGTTTTGTGTTGTCGTCCGCGCTGGCTTTTCCACATCCCTTGACGAGGATATGTCGCTACATCAACTGTTAGCATTTATTCCATGCGCAACTTTTGTAAATCTCGAACATACCTTCAAGGCATCCTTCCTCGAGAAGCTCTTATCGCAGTGGTTGCAGGGAAACGGCTTAACGGCAAGATGGATCCTCTTATGCCTCTTCAAGTCATGGTTGCGGTTGAAGCTTTGTGGGCACTGATCGCATTTAAATGGCCGGTCGTTGGCAGCGGGCTGCTGATGTTGCGGGTGACCCATGAAATGCGGCATAGCGGCTGCATGACCACTGTTGAATCCAGGCATCATGGCTGGATGGCCACCAACCAAGGCAAGTCCGCCATTGGGGTTCTGAACGTTGGAAAAGACAGGGGCCTGGCCGCCGGCGTATTGGAGCGGTGGTCTTTGTTGGTAATGATAGGGTGATTGGGAGGGGTTGTTGGAGGGGATCGAAGGGATTGAACCTTGGGATACGGCGGGAGACATGCGGGGCATGGAACCGCCAGCGCTGATGGGGCTTTGCTGTTGGCTCAGTGTTGGGGAAGGGCCAGTGGAGTAGGGGAAGTTTGAGTGTTGCGGAGTGCTGGCAGTGTGGTAGCTGTAGGTTGGGGTTGGTGGTTGGGGTGGCCTAAAGGAGTCCTGACTGAGGGCTGGTGATGGTTGCGGTGCCGAAGAGGAAACTGGTGTTTGTGCGCCCATCATCTGTTGATGATGGTGTTGTTGGTGCTGTTGATGTTGCTGCTGCTGCGTGGATATCGAGGGCATACTCGCTCCGTTGGACGAAGGCGTAAAAGGTGGAAGTTGCTGATTCATCTCATATGGTGGTGGGTTCAGCCCTTTTCCCAGTGAGTCTTGTCGTGCGAACTGGCCTTCGCTGCGCGGTGGAGCAAACATACCTCCACGGGCTTGGCCGTATTGGTGCTGCTGTTGGTGATGTGCCGCCGGGTAGCCGTAGTGTGCCGCCGATCCCTGTGCTGGCGGAGAGTATACATACTGTCCATTGGAGTATGCCATGGCTGTCGAGTACTGAGCGTTGCTTGTGGAAACAGCTGATGAGCCAATCACATCACTGTGAGTTGTGTTTGGCGGAGTCAACAGGTTGCCTATAGTGGTCGGAGCCTGCGATGATTGTGATGTGGTGACGGTGTTGGTGAAGGGATATTTGTGCATGGGTGGTGGAGGAAGCTCAAAGCTACCTAGTTGCTGGGCGTGAGGTCTTCGCGTTGCAAAGCTGGGAGGTATACCCATGGGGTCACTCCCAGGATGCATGGAAGACGGATGAGCCACGGCAGCAGCCACGTTGGCGGTTGTGTCTCGGGTAGGTCCTGATGACCTACCTGCTTCGGATGAGGGAGGACTTGGGAGAGATTGCAGCTGTGACGCTGCAAATGGCGAAGTGTATTGAGCACCGGACCAATACAATCCACGTGAAGGCTGAGAATCCACGAAGGGCAACGAGCGGCTCGTAGCTCAAAGGCGTGATGTAAGAGGAAGGGGCCTCTAGTCGAGAGGGACAAAGTGCAGATGATATGCAGGGAGTGGAGGGAAAGGGATCTTGTAAAAGGTCCTCCTAGTACACAAATACCCGCTCGGTCTATGGATTTGCGACGGTGTTCCCGGTCTACTCTCTCGTCGCGTCAGACGGTTAAGGACTGCTCCGAGTCTTTTGGAATGCTGCAATCGAACGAACGGCCCCGACAATGGTAACTGCGCTGGTTCAGGCGGACAGTGATACCGATAGACGCACGTATGGCTGTAAGTACTCTAGAGAGTCTCAGTGACTGCGCAGCGTTAGTGGTGCTCGTCGTCGCAAATCGAAAAAGGAGGGCGTACAAGAGATCAAAAGCAGATACTCGTGGAACTGTGGTGTTCTTTTAACACAGACTGTTCGGTAGGGCCCGGATTCCTGGTTGCGCAGACGTGGTGCTACTGAGGCGGTTCCACAGAATGTGTGTGTGATAGCTTAAGGCTAAAGGTAGTGAGTCGTCTACTACGGTGTTGTCGTCCGGCTAAGATGACGATGCTCTGGATTGGCCGTGGTAGTCCTGCTGGTACTCGACCCAAGATGATGGATAGCAGTGTTGCAAGATGTGGTGTTGTACGTTGACGATACGTCCCACTGATCCTTTGGCGGCGGGGGGAATGAGCCTTGTGAAGTGCTGGTGGTGGAGTTTGAGGCGTGTGGAGCGGCGATCACTCCTTGTTAAGCTCGGGACCTGGGCGCCCTAGAGGAGCGATGGCGGAGAAGGCTGGAACCTGGGTAGACTAAAGGCTTTGTTACCGCGAGTGAGTGGAGAGCGGTAGCCCTCACGTATATGTATGGCGGGCTAAGGATGTCAGGGTAGGTGGGCTCGCGTGGCTGACTGGCGCGCTGGGGCTTCAGGAATATCAAGGGCTCAACCAGGCGATAGGGTCCGTCCAAGCGTTTCGAGGATCTGGATCGGGATGGGAGATGAGAATTAGCACGAAAGCAAGCCTCAGGTGAGCGGACGGGAGCGCTATCCACAGGCGCACTTTGTCACAATAAGGCAACGCAAACGAGGCACGGCAGAAGCAATGCGACGAATGAATGACAAAACCACACCGTTCAGGTTCAGTTTAGAGAACTAGTCGAGCATGGGGCCGCACACGACAATGCATTACCAGGGGGGTGAAAGCACCCACCATAGCCAGACCCTGTCCGCAGACCATCTGTCGGACTCTGCTGGCGTGCGGGACGGCTTGGACCAGCAAAGTGGAGGGCAATCGCTTGCGCCGGCCCGTGGATTCAGGACATCTGATTATCTCATATCACACTCGCTGATGAGCAGCAAGGTGTATGGCCGTAGAGCCCGTCATGTCTCGACCTCTCGCATGTTATGACGATGAGTGGCGCAAAGTGGAAGTCGGGCGGACATGCGGCTTCTCCCCTGACCCAGACTCGCGGCACGACAAGAGACAGGCAAAGGACAAAATGCTTTTGTCTTTCCCAAGTACCAAGGGTTAGGAGCCTACTGACACTCTAACGTGCGTTGGGACTGGCGCCAACAGGACCTGGGAGAGCCTGTTGGTGCACGGACGTGGTCTGGCCCAGACAGTGCCGGGCAAGAGACAAAGCACTTTCAAAGACGACCCTTACCTGGTTTGCCCAAGCTCGCCGTTGATAGAGACCAATCGCCGTTACTAGCAGCGCTGATCTCAGAAGAAGTCTGGTGGGTGCGTAGCAGAAGCGCTATGAGATGGGACGTGAGCGCTTCATTCAGTTGCAAACCTCATCACGCTGCATTGTCGCGAGCCTCAGCGTCAAACATGGTCTCGCGAGAAACAGAGTCCAGCTGGGAAGTGCTTATCCCTGCAGGGATTCCTGTTCGGCGACCATGGCTGCGACCGTGCTTCTACCGCTCCACGAGTTAGCTGACGACATGGCGCTCTGAACGAGCGGGCTAG